TCTGCTAAAGCTTTCCTTCTACAACTTTCTTCGCCGGCAATGCTTGGGGTTACCTTCTCCCTGTCTCACACCCCCTTCTTCTGCTAAAGCTTTCCTTCTACAACTTTCTTCGCCGGCAATGCTTGGGGTTACCTTCTCCCTGTCTCACACCCCCTTCTTCTGCTACGCTTCTCACTGCAGCTCTGTAACGTTGATCGCTGCTCACTGCGTCCCTCTCTCTCACGAGGCGAGTGACAGGCGGGAGGTGGTTATCATTCCTTCACACGCTAGTTTGCGGCGAACAGACCTGACAAAAGTCGACCTTGGATAACTGACATTACCATATGAGACACGGGATCATGACCTTAAGAAGACACGGGATCATGACCTTGAGAAAAATTGACCGGAGTCAATGTTTGACGGCGTTGACACTCCGAGTTCGTTGCTCTCACCTGACCGGCTGGCAGCACTCTCCTGATTACACCTCACCTTGCCAAATCATCGACCACGACCCAGCTGACGTACAACACGACCGTTGACACAACTGCTCACGCGTTAGACAGCGATCCCGACACCTGACAGTTGACACCATTGACACCACAGTCAACGTGTACTAGTCATCTGAGCGTCGACACTCACATCTTCCTAATCGTTTTCACTCGTAAGCGCACTTCTCGCCCAACGTCGCCAACGCATGTAATATAAACAAGTTGCTACCTCCTCTCCGTACTCAGTAGTAGTAGTAGCAGCAGCGGACCTCTACCTTAGAAGCCTTCCCGCCGGCCCGCCCGCCCGCACGCGTGTCTGTGTCTGTGTGTGTGTGTGTGTTGGTGGAAACGGGAGGATAGATGCGATGCGAGTTCAAACATTGATTCAGCCGCCGCCGCTACCGCCGCCGTGCGCGCGCATTCACGAATATCCTGCCGCGACTTAGTGCGTCTTCTGCCGCCACCGCTGCTTCTGCCGCTGTTGCTGCTGCTGCTGCCGCTGCTGCTGCCGCTGTTGCTGTTGCTGCTGCTGCTGCCGCTGTTGCTGCTGCTGAGGCCGCTTCTGTTGCCACCGCTGCTGCTGCTGTTGCCGCTGCTGTTGCTGCTGCCGTTACCGCAGCTACTGCTGCCGCCGCTGCTGCTGCCGCTGCAGCTGCTGCTGCCGCCGCTGCTGCCACTGCTGTTGCTGCTGCTGTTGCTGCTGCTGCTGTTGCTGCTGCTGCTGCTGCTGCCGCTGCTGCCGCTGCTGCTGTTGTTGTAAGGTTTCAGCAGCAGCAGTGGTTTCAGTGAAGCCCCACACGCAGACAGGATCGATAACGCAGGGTCACGCAACCCCGCACATACTCATTGGAGAAAGAGAGGGAAGAGGTGTAATAGAGGGAGAGAGGAGGGCAGAGTGGGAGAGAATGTGAGGGAGGGAGGGAGAGAGAAAGAGATAGAGAGCGAGGAGAGAAACAGAGGTAAAACATGCGGGTTAAATTAGGATAAACTGAGAAAAGGCCACCGAGGCCACTCTGACAATAACAGCGCTGAGGCTGTCACCCCCCCCCTCCTGCCCCTCTCCCAGGTGCTAGCAACGCGCGCCGGTATTACATCAAAAGACTAAAGACGTCATTAAAATTTCAGAAGCAAGTTTTTAGCTTTTAACCGAAACGGACGAAAAAGTTAAATCAATGCGGTGGGCATGCGCGCGCGCCTGCTGTCGGCTGGAATCCACGCGACAAATGCGAGAAAATTCGCTCTCCTCGCAACTTAGGGGATACGACGCAGCGACGAAGCGCGGTAAAATAAAGAAACGAGTCCGGCTGAGTTCGTCTTCTCTTCCCTTTCATCTTTGCGTGGGACGCAAGGGTATTACTGGAGAGAGTGAAGAAATCACTGTGACCGTAATGCGAACAAGTGACAGTTTGTGCCTGCGTGCGTGCGTGCGCGCGTGCGTGCGTGCGTGCGTTTACGTACAAATAATTCCCGCAGTAGAACAGCCAGCCACCGACACATCCAAGCAATATTTAAGCTATCTAACGAGAACGACAACATGAGCACTCTATAATAAAATCCTAGGATACACACACACGCACGCACGCAGGCACACACACACATACACAAAACAGACCAATGATACGGAGCGGGGCGCCAGAACCCCCGCGAATCTTCATGGGGAGACCGATTACCATCGCTCCTGTTGGAGGAAGTTGGTCTAGGTTCGCTACGTTCTCTATCCCTACAATATTCTTCTCGAACAGAATTGTATGAGTTTTGAACGTTTTGGACTGGCCATAATCCAGAGAAGCTGTATCAATCCCGAAGGCTTTGATCTTGCGATTTTCGACTAGCCACTTCGCCGCGTCAGGATGAAGACCAGGAAAATGAAGTATGCTCGCATCCTTTGTGTTCGTGCCGAGATACCTCTCCTTATTCGGCCAGTGCCGTCCCCAACCCGTGTACAAGAATAGAATACTTCCGTCCGGTATCCTACCATGTTTCTCCTCCCACACACGCAGATCAAGTTCTGTCGCTTGGTAATCTTCATGTCCAGAGACCTTGGCGGTGACGTCTACAACGACGGCATCACCGATCACTCCATCAACGGGAATATGATCAACTACCCAGGAGCCTCGATAGAAATGGGAAGGGGCGTCGATATGCGTCCCCCCGTGCTCGGCCGCACAGAAATTATTGACCTCATAGTAAACTCCGCTCGATGGGACGATACCCTTAAATACGACCGTCATATTAAACGGGTCAGCTGTTGGCCAGTAAATCGTCTCGTTTACGGCAAAGTCATACGTCATGTCGATAATGTTGCGGTCTCCAGCAGGTCGCTTAAACATCTGTAGTGCTTCTCCTGTTGCATCGACTCGGGTCATGGCAACCATAGCCAAGACAAGGACGTTTACTCCGTGAGCCATGTTACCGATCTGAAACAAAAGACACCTGCGCTTGTACCATATATCCACCCATTTATCGAAAAACACAATATAGGTATTCCCCACGAGAACGGTTCGTTAAAGCTTGTCAAACTCCACGAAAATGTCATGACGTTATGTAGTTATAGCTTACTTTCTATGACATATTTCGATTTTAAATAGGCTTTAAACCAGTTTCATGTATAGTATTTTATCACATTGATTTCAATGACATCAAATTCTTAGTGAATTCTAAAATAGTTCGTCGTAACGGTTTTAATTCGACCTCTACGCAAACGAAGTTTTTACGTTGATCAGCGCCAGCAACCTAACACTACGCAAGTAAAGGTGAATGCTGATATGTAATGCGAAACCGCGCAGCCTGTGCTAATGAATCGGTTTCACTACTTTGTCTCTGACAAAGCGATTCGCTCAATTTTGTGTGTGGTACTATTCGGCACCAGGGTGCAATAATCTGCATTATACACATCAAGTAAATGTCATATAGACGTCTAAAAAGCATAGGTTAGGTCGTGTCTAGAAATTGTTCTAATCTGTCAAGTGACCTAACCATGGTTAGATGCCTCATGGACGTCTAGAAAGCAATGAGCATTAAGATTGCTCTTGTCGTGTAATTGTGCCATTCCAGCAAGTGACGTAGCCATGATCACCGGTCGGCGATTTTTGTGTTTCAAACGGGATCCAACTACTCTGTAGAAATATGCACCATAGAGCTGACCAAGGTTTCGAGCGGAGTATAGAGCTTGAATCTGTGGTTATTTGACATGAATAAAGTGTATGTTGTGTATGCGACGAAACAGTGTGCGTATTTTTAATTAATTTCTGTTCGATGCTTATTCAGGCTTGCTGCCTATGGTCGCCATGTATCTACTGTTGTACGGCACCTTTTGCCTGCGGCAACCGTACGCGGGCTATAGTTACTAGAGCTAGGCACCTTTAGGTGTGTACTGCACTATATTCTGGCCTTTCGACTTACGATGTTGATCCGCACCAGCGGTTGAAGCTAGTTTCTAGCAATTCGGAAGTAATAATTATCGTGCATAATAAGCTTTCTAGGAAGTGATTACTTGTACTGTTGCTTTGACAAGTACTGTGACTTGTCTTGTCGGTTGTGATCAGGCATGTTGACGGTGTATCTACGAAAATATTATACGCAACAATACCTCGTTCGGATGCGTATAATTCTGCTCTCAGAGAGGTTATACGTGAGGCCATATATACTTTGTATGCATAATTCATTGCTTCAAACCCCCGGACTTCCAAAATCTAAAGATTTTTTTTTTCACTACATAAAAAATCACAAAAACTTTATATAACACTAAAACAATAATTTACACCGTATATTTATTTACAGGAAATTCACCGATAGGGCATTGGCAGGGTTCAAAAAACCATATCTGTATGTATGTGTAAAACGGGGATTTCCATGTACGGAATGAACATTGAACGAGTTGACGAACGTTTATAATAAATGAGTATATAGAATATTACAATGAGCGAATCGCTTACGTTTTCTATGAGAAAAAGACTGACATTATTGAGTTGAGGTGGTTCTGATAGATTAGTGAGAAGACCGGCGAAAATCTGGAGATTCTCGGCTCTAATCTGGAGACCTGGAGATGAAGCCCAAAATCTGGAGACTCGATCTAGACTAAATCTGGAGGGTTTGCAACTATGATGCTGTCGTTTACACTCAAACAATACACCACGGCACAGGCACATATATCTAGGCCACACTAATAATATTGTTTTTGAATTAAGAGTTTGAAACAAACATTTATAATCAGGAACCAAGAACATGCTATTTTTACGAGTATCCTTGAAGAACACAATTGGAAATAAAATGATTATAAGATGTTTACCACATACCAGCCTAAGTTACTGTGTACTCTTGTCTCCTCTTGTGCTGGTGTTTATATACTGTTCGTCTCTCGCCTTGATGTGAGTCGTGTCATCTACGTTTCAACCGCGGGCGGGTGCATTTTCCCCATAACAGGCACACACTGAGCTTATACTGCCTGCGCACTTATTGTCACAAGTATATTTATCAACTCATCCGTGTCGTCGTGAAAAAAACCGGTATGTTCCAATATGCTAATGCGTACAACCACGGAAAACTGTTTGAAGGACGACGTTACTGCAACAACAGACCATGCTGGCAAGTATATCAGGAGCATGAATATAATGTACAGAAATGTGAATACGGGACGAAGAATAACTTATAGATACGGAAGACTTATAGAACTTATATGAATACTTATAGAACAAAGAAATGCTAAACATCTAGTTAATCCGACTATTTATGCGTGATGTTGTACGTGCCTGCTAAATATATGTATGCATCTGTAAACTGTGTAATAACGTTTTACACACATATGCATATATGAGTGTATACATGATCGCTAGACAAGACTTTACCATCCTGCATTACACCTTCTTCTTCTTTTTTATCTCAGTGGGCTCCTGCTCCTTCCCTTTCTCATCGTTCTGTGCCTTACGTTTATTCCAGATACTCCTCCTCCTTCCCTCATCCTGCCGGTATCTCCTCTTTTCCCTGTCCCTATAGCTCACTCCCCCTTGGGTTGTATGGGTATCATCCAACGGATCGAATGTCGGTTATCGTGAATAACAAAAGCGGAAGATGCGGGGTTTTCAGAAGTTAGTTTTTCCTGACTGCGTGTTATAACTGAGCTGGACATCTGTAGCTACAAGTAGCATAAAATCTCCAGATGCAGATGGCGGTGTGCTTACCGATATTTGCATATGTCTTTCTCGAAGAGTGGGTTTTCTTCTGAAGAAAACGCTTATAGGCGAGAAGCCTGTTGGATACTATTATTATGTATATGCCGCTATTTTACGTGTAGAAATGTTGACATTATCAGCAAATTTACGTACACTCTAATCCGTCCGGCAACATAAAAACGACGTTTTAATTCGTGGAAATTAGAGGCAAAGAACATAAACTTCGGCTGGCATCACATCAAACCAGATTTTATAACAAGCCTAATCTGTACTTGATCAACTCAAAATAAATAGACGTATACTATAAACCAACCTGAGGTCCTCGGTGTCTATGCAATGTTTCCTTGTCTCCTGTGCTGGTGTTAAGTATTCGTCGTTCTTTCCTTACTGGCAGATGTGGTTCTATGCAGCCGGCCGTGCTCACCACTTTTAATTTTTACTACATACCAGCGCAAGACTAGGTGGCTCACGTAACCAGTTTATTTTTAAGTCATGTGTCACGTGTAAAACCGGTAAGCTGTAATAATATTATGTGACAAGGTCAAAATAGGCGATTTACAGTTAGGGTGCTAATTTAATGTATTCTGCATTAAAATATGGCTCACAATGATAGATAGCAGGAACAAAATATAATTTCACTCACGGAACTCTAAACCGTCTAATTACTAGGAGGGATATATACTATCCCTGCTTGATGTGGTCCGCACAAGCTAAATATATGAATACTTCTAAAAACTCTACGATAGCACATTTATGCGCGACCATGCAACCTATACGGCCACTAGATAATCGTCCTCTATCATCCCACATATTTTCGATCGTTTCATGCTTTTCTAGCTCACCCTTATCACAACCCTCGCCTAATATCATGCTTTTTACGTCTCTCTACTGCGACACTCTTTCACGTTCAGCGTCCACTGCTCCCTCGATCCTCCCCATCCCGCGGCTTTATCTTTTAGCGATCGTTTACTTCTCTCTCAACCCCCTCGCCACCCATCTTTATCCTACTCCAATCGTCCTTCCACGCGTACACCCCTTCTTTTCGATTCTCCCGTCCTACCCATTGCTCCAAAATAAACGCGAGCTTGTTAATATATGACATTTTTTATAAGATCGGGCACGTAAGAAGTAAAGAAGTCGTAAAAAGAGTATATATATTGAATTGTAGTGTATCAGTAGTATAATACGGCATTTTATCATAACAGCGAGCCATAGATCTCGAGGGAAATAAACATGACAATATAAAAAGTAATCAAGAACGAGCAGACGTTGCAGCGACGTTGCAGTAGCCGGAAGTCGACAACGCAACTGTGTCATCATCAAAGTATGAGTAGGGGGCCTAACCCAGAATGTCCACCGGTCGGGTAACATGAGGGATGCATGGAAACGAGTTTTACCTACAACCCCATGCAGTTAGACAAAGACTTCGACTACCCGATAGTATACCATATGCAGTATCGTATCATTATACACACGTACATATTATGGCTATATGGCTGTATGACTGCGTTCGAAACTGTCTGATAACATTATTTAGACATTATATTGTGTATATATTCTATGGAATTATTCAGTTCTGTTTCTTTTCTTTGAAAAATGTTTGAGAAATAAGTATTTAATTATTGAACTTTTTACTCGACTCTGTGTCGTATAATAAGAATTAGCCTTAAAACCGCCAAATTAACTCAGTTAACAAACAAATATAATATTAATATGACAGAGAATATTAAAATTTTAATATTGTACAATTGCCATTATAGATTAATTAAAACGTAATTAAATACGATATAATATTTGGCATGCGAAGAATCAGAGGCAAGGATCACGATACCGTTTTATTGAGAAGCTGCCACTAAGATATGCCATCATGTTACCAGTGTTTATCAATGTTAACTCACAAGATCTGGACTATTACGGAACTAAGCAAAAAAAAAACGCACAGGTCTCACATTAGCTGACCTTGATCATATAGCCTAACTCATTAACATAGTTAATAAATGCTAATAATTTTATTATAAAACGAACGAAAACGCGTTGGCGCGTCATATGTAACGTTATGTTAAAAACAAACAGAATCACAAACTTCGATTAGTGATTTAGTTAAAAATTAATATAAATAATAGTAGCTCATGCTAGCTCGCTTGCAATTGTCTACCACCTTATTATTAAATTCTTCATACACTCACTCACTCACTCACTCACTCACTCACTCACTCTCTTTTTCTCTCGTTCTCTCTTCCTTCCCCTCTTCTCTCTCGCTCTCCCTGTATTTCGTTTCCTCATCTGTCTCCCTCTCTCGCTAGCTCTTTACAACCGCCTACTACAAGGCCGACATTAGAATCATTTTAATTTCCACTGTATATTCGATTTCCCGTAAGAGTTGTGTTCAATTACGGACCGACAGACACACAGACACGCAGACAGGCGCGTACGTACATCGCGTGTGCACGGTACGCTGAAATCTGCATGTCCACCGCAACTGTCCACGGCTGCTGCTTTGCTCGGGTGGCGCCCTCTCATGCACAACATAACAGCATGCAAAATGAACACGCAGAAATGAATGTCAGTGCCGACAGCAATATCAATGTCAATATCAGTACCAATATCGAAATATAGCACACATCGATGTAAATATCAATTTTCATCTCTTTACGCGTTACATAATCACACAATAATCTTCACGTTATTACAGTGATATCATTTATGATATATAACGACGCAACATCGCACGCACGCACGCACGCACACATGTACGATTATAGGTTGCTGGTTGGGTCGCTGGCGCGTGTTTTACCTGGGTTGTAAGCGTAGGTTCTCGGGTGTGCTGGTGGTGCGCTTACACACCCAGCTGCCAGGGCTGTAGCACCGTGGCGCGAAGACGGGGCTGTTAACAGCTGAGCTGCTGCTACCTGGCCGAAACAGCTGGCGGCCGTGTAAGACGCTTGTGTAGTCCAGCGATGAACACCGCTCCCCTTCCTCCATGATCTACCACTCCTCTCTCTTGCTCGCTTTCTCTCTCACATGCTCCGCTGCTGCTACAGCTTCTTCGCTCTTACGGCTTCCTTCGTCTACGATGCTCGGAGTTACGCTCTTTCTGTCTCACATCCTTCTTTGCTGCTACAGATTTCCTCTTACGGATTCTTTCGACTACGAAGCTTGGAGTTACCCGCCTTTTGTCTCACATCCTCTTCTTTTGTTACAGATGACTGCTTCAGCTTCCTTCTTCCCCGATGCTTCTGGTAACCTTCTCCCTGTCTCACACTCTCTTCTTCTGCTATAGCTTTCCTTCTACAACTTTCTTCGCCGGCAATGCTTGAGGTTACCTTCTCCCTGTCTCACACCCCCTTCTTCTGCTAAAGCTTTCCTTCTACAACTTTCTTCGCCGGCAATGCTTGAGGTTACCTTCTCCCTGTCTCACACCCCCTTCTTC